CCATTCGGATTTCGGATGCTTCCGAATGTACGAATTTCAGGACAATTCCTACGAATCGCACGCGTCTACAAATGTCACTTTGCTGCAAACGAACGAAACGAATAAGAAACGAAAACGAACGTGCGAACGAAACACCGCTAACGAGTTTCGTCCGAATTCCGAATCCGAATTGACTTTCACACCCGAATCCCGAAAAACAAAATAACACGAAATCCGAATTTCAAAGGAAACAAAAGGAATTTGTTGGCAGTCACATGTCTGCACATAACGCAAATGTTATTTCCTCACAAAACATCTGCTTTTGTGTCAAAAATAAATGGCCGCGAGGTGCCGGAGTGTTCGGGTTTGGCTTAGGTGGCAACCCTAGCGAATACCGCGCCCGGGATACCGGGAACCCGCCACAGACACGTCGTCTCCTCCTGGCGGAACGTTCTGGTCACACGACCCCCCCAATTGCGGGTGACGAAGGGGTGACATTGGCTGAGGAAGGATCGGTGGGATCGGCTGTCAGTAACTATGGCGGCTCAGACACAAAACATTCACATTGGTATCACCATAGTGTGTGACTCCTCCCCCCGGGGACCCCGATATGACTCCTTCCCCCGGGGACCCTGATATAACTCCTCCCCCCCGGGACCCCGATATGACTCCTCCCCCTCGGGGACCCCGATAGAACTCCTCCCCCCGGGGACCCCGATATGACTCCTCCTCCTTATTGGGGCGCCGGTCACTGAAGACTTCTCTGCCGTTTATTCAATCACAATACATTTGTGGGGAGAGGGGGAGGGGCTCGGGACACCCCAAAACAGCGAAATATTCTAGACTCCTGGCGACAGCCAATCAGAGAGCAGGGACCCCTACATGAGAACAGTCCTTGTACCTGGAGATGTTGGGCATTGAGGTCCCCATGGAAGGTCCATCTGGCCGAGGCTTCTCCCAAGCTCTCCTAGGACGCTCCAGCTCAGCGCACTCCTCTGAGGATGATCCCTATGGGTAGTCACCTTCCTGTGTAATTAGAGACGATCCCTATGGGTAGTCAGCTTCCTGCTTAATTTAGAGATGATCCCTATGGGTAACCACCTTCCCGTGTAATTAGAGATGGTCCCTATGTGTAGTCACCTTCCTGTGATGATCCCTATGGGTAGTCACCTTCCTGTGTAATTAGAGACGATCCCTATGGGTAGTCACCTTCCTGTGTAATTAGAGACGATCCCTATGGGTAGCTCCCCCCAGGAGCCAGGCATCATCAGGAGCCAGGCATCACCGGGAGCGAGGAGCCAGGCATCACTGGGAGCGAGGAGCCACGCATCACCGGGAGCCAGGAGCCAGGCATCACCAGGAGCCAGGAGCCATGCATCACGAGGAGCCATGCATCACGAGGAGCCATGCATCACGAGGAGCCATGCATCACGAGGAGCCATGCATCACGAGGAGCCATGCATCACGAGGAGCCATGCATCACGAGGAGCCATGCATCACGAGGAGCCATGCATCACGAGGAGCCATGCATCACGAGGAGCCATGCATCACGAGGAGCCATGCATCACGAGGAGCCATGCATCACGAGGAGCCATGCATCACGAGGAGCCATGCATCACGAGGAGCCATGCATCACGAGGAGCCATGCATCACGAGGAGCCATGCATCACGAGGAGCCATGCATCACGAGGAGCCATGCATCACGAGGAGCCATGCATCACGAGGAGCCATGCATCACGAGGAGCCATGCATCACGAGGAGCCATGCATCACGAGGAGCCATGCATCACGAGGAGCCATGCATCACGAGGAGCCATGCATCACGAGGAGCCATGCATCACGAGGAGCCATGCATCACGAGGAGCCATGCATCACGAGGAGCCATGCATCACGAGGAGCCATGCATCACGAGGAGCCATGCATCACGAGGAGCCATGCATCACGAGGAGCCATGCATCACGAGGAGCCATGCATCACGAGGAGCCATGCATCACGAGGAGCCATGCATCACGAGGAGCCATGCATCACGAGGAGCCATGCATCACGAGGAGCCATGCATCACGAGGAGCCATGCATCACGAGGAGCCATGCATCACGAGGAGCCATGCATCACGAGGAGCCATGCATCACGAGGAGCCATGCATCACGAGGAGCCATGCATCACGAGGAGCCATGCATCACGAGGAGCCATGCATCACGAGGAGCCATGCATCACGAGGAGCCATGCATCACGAGGAGCCATGCATCACGAGGAGCCATGCATCACGAGGAGCCATGCATCACGAGGAGCCATGCATCACGAGGAGCCATGCATCACGAGGAGCCATGCATCACGAGGAGCCATGCATCACGAGGAGCCATGCATCACGAGGAGCCATGCATCACGAGGAGCCATGCATCACGAGGAGCCATGCATCACGAGGAGCCATGCATCACGAGGAGCCATGCATCACGAGGAGCCATGCATCACGAGGAGCCATGCATCACGAGGAGCCATGCATCACGAGGAGCCATGCATCACGAGGAGCCATGCATCACGAGGAGCCATGCATCACGAGGAGCCATGCATCACGAGGAGCCATGCATCACGAGGAGCCATGCATCACGAGGAGCCATGCATCACGAGGAGCCATGCATCACGAGGAGCCATGCATCACGAGGAGCCATGCATCACGAGGAGCCATGCATCACGAGGAGCCATGCATCACGAGGAGCCATGCATCACGAGGAGCCATGCATCACGAGGAGCCATGCATCACGAGGAGCCATGCATCACGAGGAGCCATGCATCACGAGGAGCCATGCATCACGAGGAGCCATGCATCACGAGGAGCCATGCATCACGAGGAGCCATGCATCACGAGGAGCCAGGAGCCACGCATCGCCGGGAGCCAGGAGCCAGGCATCACCGGGAGCCAGGAGCCATGCATCACGAGGAGCCATGCATCACGAGGAGCCAGGAGCCACGCATCATCGGGAGTGAGGAGCAGCTGCAAAACCAGTGCCAAGGAAATGTGAGAGCGGTCACTTAGGGACACGGCTCCTGCTGGGCCCAGGACATGGAATCTGGGGGGAGGGGGATCCAGGAACACGGAGGGGGCCAGGGAGGGAACGCTGCAAGAACACAAACACAGACCGTTCTCCCATTCTCGCGGCGTGCGGGTCAGGACTTCACACACATGAGGCTTCCCAGCATGCTCCGCTACCCTCAGGAGGCTGCAACGAGCTGCACTGAGCATGTGTCAGGTTGGGATGATTCCAGGGGCTGCAGTGCTCTGTAGTCACAGTGGCCTCATGTGTCACCGATGGCTACCGGGAAGATTTGACACCGAGGGGCGCCGGAGGGTCTAAACCCGATCAGTGAAGCCGTCAGTATGTTCTTTGGGATAGTTTGTGGGTTTGGTGTGGACGCGGCGCCGGTTCTTAGTGATCGGGGGGGCCCGGGAACACTTTGTATTGGGACCGGCTGAGTGTCCGCTGGTGACATATTGAGGTCAGCTGACTGAAGAGAGTGAAGACTCAATAAACCATCCATGGGATAATTCTTCTCTCCGAAAGACGAAATGTTGCCTCGTAACGCCCCTCCCCCCATGGCCCTTAATATGGAATGGGAATTTGTGCCCATTTTGTTGTGTCAGGTACTGGTGTTGGAGGAGGGGACCCGGGCTCACAATCAGTGATCAGTAGGGTTGAGGTCGGGGCTCGGTGCAGGACACTCGAGTTCCTCCACCACACTGGTCACACCGTGTCTGTATGGAGCTGGCTTTGTACACGGGGGACAGTCCTGGGGGGGACAGAAAAGGGTCTCCACCAAACTGTCACCACAAGGCTGGAAGATCCCAACTGTCTCCAATGTCTCTGTATGATGGAGGATCACCAGAACCTTCACTGGAGACACCTGAACCCCATCGTAGGGAGGGGGGGTGCACATACTTTTGGCTATTCAGTGGGCATGATGGTCAGGTGTCCACATATGATGTAGAAATGTCTTTTGTAAAGTTTTTTGGACGGCCCAGGAGCTTCTTACATGACACATGCCGGCCCAGGAGCTTCTTACATGACACATGCCGGCCCAGGAGCTTCTTACATGACACATGCCGGTCCAGTGTGTGTATGTGAGTGTGGAAACCTCCATGGTCTTGTTCCAACAGAGTATATGTATAGGGCACACAGAGGGAACACCTGCCCTGGGCCCATGAGCTCCGGGGGCCCCCAGCATATATATACTTCTCCTCCATTGGTGCACTCACATTACATTCTGTACATTTTGGGGGGAAATGAACATTTTTTGGGTCTTGCTGAGATCATGACAGTTATACCCAGGGCCGTCTTTAACGCAGGGCAAAAGGGGCAGCTGCCCAGGGCCCAGTCATTGTTGTGGCGCCCAAAGGGCAGCTGCCAAAGGCGGCTTTTGCCCCTGGATAAGGGATAGGGAGCCTGCCAGGTGAGGGGACTACAGCCTGAATCAGGGCAGCATGAACAGGGGGTGTCTGATGGGGAGGCCCTGCGTGTCTGTACTGGCTGCTGCTGCATGTGTGTATTAGGGAACACAACGTCCGGAGAGAGGGGTCACTACATGTTGCTTGTCTGTATGTGATGGAGGTCACTACATGCTTTCCATGTACATATGATGGGGGACAATAAACCTTAGTAAGGCTGCATAGACAGTCGTCTGTGGGCGCCGGGGGGGTGGGGGGGGGGATGGGAGAGAGGGGGTGAATAATGCACCTTCACCTGTGTAGGCAAGAATCCTTGCACCGGCCCCGCCCTTGAGTCCTCAAAAGATACACCTGCGCCACTCTTCTGTTTGCTGTGCGATCGGTATTGCATAGTGTTGCTCCGCTCCTGCGTATGCATGGGCGAAATTGCATAGCGGGGGTCGGGATAGGCAGGAACGGGGGGCCCAAGAAAATGTTTGCTCAGGGTCCAATCAGTATTAAAGACGGCCCTGGTTATACCTCAATCGTATGTTGTGTGTGACGACTACACGGTATTCCATGTATGAAGAAAGGAGACATTCAGATACTGACTGCGGATCATTTATTGGCATCTAGAGCTTAAGGAATCTACAAAGCGGGTCTCATATTTACAAACACAGCTCATATTTTATGAACATTCTCTGTAAATATCTTCTTTTCGGTCCGTTTCTTTACTCTTCTATCTTCTGCAGAGAAAGAGAAACAAAAAAAAGTCAAAACTACAAAAATAATGACGATCACTTTTCATTCCTCAGATCGCACGTTCACCACGGGGGGGGGGGGGGGGATATGTTTTTTTGGTCATTTT